TCATTCTGATTTTCAACAATCAATGTCGGGACAATCACTTTGAAGTCATAAAGTCCCATCTCCAGATCGCACATGCCAGAAGGTAAGGTCCTGGAACCCCACAACCAATCAACACAGTGGCTGTTGGCTCAAGAGTGGGGCTCCTTAAAACATGCTGATGTATCAGTTGAGGTATTACTTTAGAGCTCAGTGTGCATGCCATCGACCCACTATCCAGCAAAGCTCTGACTGTAACCACTCCTCCCAGTGTCACATTTTCATAGAACAAGTTGTCATGCTGTTTGAGTCTCTGAGTCTTTTGTAATATTGGTGTATATCCCATTTCTCTCACTTCACATGCACTTTGACAAATAGACTCCATGTCGTCTTCTACATTTAGAACAGGGGGATCACTTTTAGGCCAAACACTTGCCCCCACCACATGCAGGCCAGTCAGTTTTCCTGAGACTGCACTACCGGCTTGTCACTCCGAGGCTTCCTCACAACCCCTGGACACTCTGCTCGGGTGTGGTCAGGTGCAAAACAGCTGAAGCACAGGTGGTTGGACCTGCAGTGGTACTGAGTAGTGTGTCCGCCATCGCTGCACACAGCACAAGGTCCAGCAGGCCTTACTTTCGTCGGTTGGGCCCTCTGGGTGGGTACATTGACCCTACTTTGAAACGTGTGTTGTTGTGGTTGCTGCTCCAGAACACATTCGAGCAGAGCGATGACCCGATCCAAGCGGTCCGGCGAGCTCTCAGCTGACATCCCAACAGGTGGTGGAACCACAGCAGCTGGAGGCAGTACTTCAGCACTAAGTGTCGCACTTTGCACAGAGGAGGTAACTTCCTGGTGTTGGGAATTCAGGAAACTTGACATTCTGTGTTTGGTTAGTCGCTTGCGATTTCTGCTGTGTTCAACAAGTTTCTCATGAATGTCAGCCACTGTCCAGTCTTTCAGCTGCCTACATTTGAATATGAGTGACAGTTCAGGGTCAGGGCAGTTCTGGATAAACATAGCGGCTAGATCACAGGACAGAGAGTCAAAAGCCTTATTTTGTCTCTTTAAAGAGTCCTCTGCCACATCCAAGGCTTTGTTGAGTCTCAGCCAATAGTCAAAGGGATGTTCATTTGGGTGGGGCACAGTAGCATAAAAGTCCGCTAAGGGCAAACTAGAGGACACAGTATCACTGAAGTGCTGCTTCAGTATTTCAAAAATGGGCTCAGGTCCTGTAGTCACATTTAAAACTGGCTTACTGCGTATACCAACTTTAACTACTTCATGTGCCCTCCCGACCAGCTTAGACATCACCTCATCAGCCTGTTCAGCCATGGGAGTGCCTTTCTTTCTCATGTAAGATAACATCATAACCTCCCACTCTTGGACTGAACATGAATCATGATCCCCTTTAAAACTCACAGGTTCTTTCACATCAGGGCGAACAATGACATTTAACATGGCAGACTCCTTAGCTTTAGCTCCACCCACCCCTGGACCCATTGTATTACTGAAACGGGTTTCAATGGATGATGCAATACTTTCACCAATAGAAACTCCAATTCGTGAAGCTATGTCATTCAAAAGTCTTCCATCAACATCACAATGTGGAGCATCTACAGTGTCTTTAACTCTTTCATCGGAATAAGCAAAGTTTGGTTTTGGTGTAGATGCATCTGGGGTATTCAAAAACCAACCCCTGCCTGTAGCAACTGCAAGCATAGGAGTAAACATTCTAAGACCTCTTCCTCTACCAAAATAATTGTTGCTTGCCATAACTCACAGTACTTACTGATCAAAAGCAAAAATCAATAATAAATAAATAAATAAAAACTTTTTTTTTTAAGACTTACAAATTAAACACAGTGGCAAAAGTGCGCCTTCAACAGATCAACAAGTAAAACCCGAGTAAAATAAAACTGTAACATTAAAAGTAACTTTGTTTCAAAGTGCTCTTCCTTCCGAGAGAGCGAAGAAAAAAAGAATTCCAGTAATAACCAGAGCGCAGCCTAACGTTAGCTCCTAACGTTAGCTCTCCTCGAGACACAAAACTGTTAAAGTAATAATAAAAATAATTCCACACTTTAAGACTGACCACCGCTACACCGCCGAAACGGCGAAGAGTTCACACGGAGCACCGTGTCTGATAACCGGGACCGATGTGCCGCTCACGATCCGTTGAGATGTCTGGAAGTAGACGCAGCCCGCGTTCCGGGAAGTAGACGCAGCCACCGCGCTGGCGTAGTTGAAGAACGGGTCACGGGCACCAATGTAACCTTTTTAATTATTATGGCTTTTCGTCATTACTCTGCGTTGTGTGAATATGGACCAGGAGACAGGATGATACAAGATGAAGTTTATCTGGATGAAACAGGATATAAAATAATCAGGGACCAGGTTCATCACCGGCAGTACAGCACCTCGCGCCCATCTCTCATGAACTGGCCAACGGCCGTATTTTATACATTAACATTAGACAGAATTACAAGGAAATAAAACAATAAATAAATGAAACAATATGTACCTGGATGAAACAGGATATAAAATAATCAGGGACCAGGTTCATCACCGGCAGTACAGTACCTTACGAGGAATAGTATTTTATGTTAGCAACAAACTAACAGAACATTCCACAGGACCGTTACAATGTTCCCAGCGAACCTACCTCGCGCCCATCTCTCATGAACTGGCAACGAGATATCTATGTTCACTATATTTAACGTTGCCAACCACCAGGAGGGGGTGCTGTTTCACCCATTACATCTGAACCCAAACTTGGAAGTAAAGACAAGTGGAATTCTGTACAATATTTTAACTATGTTACACTTGACTGTACTACTCATGCTGTTCACAAGTCAGTTTATTGTCTGCTGAAACATGGCATCCCACTCTTCTTGAAAGGTAGCCTTCAAAGTTAGAGTTAGAGTCACATGGAGCTGATGGATCGGCCCACTTTGAGCAGGACCCGGAGCAAACAAGTGGACTTTACAAGCACAAATAAGAGATTTATTTTTACAGTGATGGCAAATTTTTAGACGAATGATCAACAGTTTCTGTTGATTTAAAAAAAAAAAGACATTGCGTGTGCTAATTCACGCAATGTCTTATGGGCCTCAAGTCTGGAGAAATTGCAGGTCACTTTGTTGGAGGAACCCCAGTCTCCAGTGGCCATACCCTGACGACGGAGAGGAGGAATATCGCTGTCTGGTGAGGGACTTTGCTCTCTGGTGCCACACAAACCACCTGGAACTCAACACCTCTAAGATGAAGGAGCTGGTTATAGACTTTGGGAGGTCCAGACCAAAGCCGAGACCAGTCGTACTAGAGGGAACGGAGGTTGAGGTCGTGGACTCCTACAAGTACCTCGGGCTGTGGCTGGACAGTAAACTGGATTGGTCAAAACACAGCAGCCACCTGTACGGGAAGGTGCAGAGCAGGATGTACTTCCTGAGGAGACTGCGGTCCTTTAACATCTGCAGCAAACTGCTGTGGATGTTCTACCAGTCAGTGATCGCCAGTGTCCTCTTCTACACCGTGGTATGCTGGGGAGGCAGCACATCCAAGAAGGACACGTCCAGACTGGACAAACTGATCAGGTGCCAGCTCTGTGGTCGGCATGAAGCTGGACTCTCTGGTGATGGTGGCAGAGGCGAGGACACTGAACAAACTGCTGGACATCATGGACGATAGCAGCCACCCTCTACACGCCGTCATCAGCAGCCAGAGGAGCCTGTTCAGTGACAGACTGCTGCTTCCCAAGTGCCGGACCAATAGATTCAAGAACTCCTTTGTCCCCCACGCCTTCAGACTGTACAACTCCTCACTGGGGGGTCGGAGGTGACACAGGACAGAGGGAAGAAGGAGTAGTTTTTCTACAAATGTGAACTCCATACTTATCAGGCCAACCATACAGTGCAATACCATATCACTGGTCAATCTATCCACCAAATTGCTATAATTTCCTTTTGTGTTGTATTTATATTCTTTGTTTTGTATTTATATTCTTATTATATTTATTGTGTACCTTGTATTTAATTTGTATTTTTGTGTGTGCTTACTGTGTGCCACATTTTTGCCTGTGAGCTGCTGGTAACTATAATTTCCTGAGGGAGTCTTCCCAAGGGATCAATAAAGTCAAGTCTAAGTCTAAGTCTATGATTTGGAGCATTTTCAGCCATGAATGTGAAATGAGGCCTGTGTTGTTCATGCAGTGACACAATGACTAGATTCACAAAGTTCTTCAGGAAGTCCAGGCTTGTCCTTGTACCATTCTCAAACTGTAGGGCAGAATATGTAGCAGTGTACCTGCTTACACTGCAACAGTGGTGGTGTCTGGTAACAACAGCAGCTGTTGCACAGCTTTCACCTTGACATCTCCAACATCGTCATTTCTGCTCATATAAATAATTTTAATTTTATTTATTAAAATGTTATAAATAATTTTAAGAAATTATTTCTTAAAAATTGATTAGTAATATACTTAAAATGGCTGGGTATAATAAAACACCCTGCAATGATATGTGATACTCCAGTTAAACTTAAGATGTACATTAATAATAATTTTTTGCATGGATTAAAAAAATATTTTCTGACGTAGAAAACATGCATATTGGTGTTCAGGAAAATTTAATTTGATTATTAAAATACTGTTATAGCTAATTTCAAAATATGTATTTGTCTTTTTCACAGTATAGTTCGCACTTTTAAATGTCACTACTTTTTTTTATCACAAAAAAGTTTTACAAATTCAAATAAAAAAGAATCATAGAATTATCAAATAGTTATGCCCAATATTTGGTATTACTTTGTATGAAATCAACAAATCCCCATTGTGTCGTAATTTTTTGTACCTGTGAAAGGGCACGTGTGGAAACCTTTCTCTGCCATAAGGGACATGTCCGTGGTCCAATCAGAAACCACAAGAAGTGGCCCTGGTGTCAGATTGGCTCGATTCAGTAGTGACGTAATGAAGCTTTGGTATAAAACTAACACACGCACTTCATTCAGCGCTTTACACAGTATGGCCGGCGATATTAGCTAGCACTCGCTTACGGTATTCTCTGCAAAAGGGAAGGCGGTAACTCAAGATAATTAACACCTGGATTGCTTAAAGGACTGTACCTCAATAAATTATAACTAACCGAGGAAGGATTAAATAAGCTGTAAACGTTGTAACTGACGTTCTAATAATTCTGTTGGGTGTCTGTTGTCTCATGATGGAGGATAACGGTGCACATTTCTTCGAGGGGACAGAGAAGCTGCTGGAGGTTTGGTTCTCTCGCCAGGACGAGACCAAAGGAACCGGGGACCTCCGCACCATCCCGAGGTTTGAGACTTTTTCTTGTCTGCGCTGTCGTGTCATGTTTGTGTCGTCTATTGCAGTAAACTTTATGCATTATGTGACATGTAGTTAGGAATATGTTATAAAGACCAGGCTTTTAGAGACTTTCATTGGTTTACCTGAAGCTGGCCTGCTGAGAACCGAAGCAGTTTCTGGCCTTACCAGCGAGTTAGCTAAAACCACTCTGGAAAATGGTCACCTCCCCCTTTAACTGTGGTACTCCGAGGATGACTCATTCATTCGTCGTACTTTAAGTTTATCAGTTCTTCCTAGTCCATTACTTGATGCTTTAAGGTTCGTAATGGATATTTTCTGTCGTGTTTAGAAATACGTAGACTAGCAGGTGGGCAAGCGGTTATTAGCTGAATAACTCATGCTACTTCTTAAAAGAAAAGTATCAACATCTTTCAAGCGCTGTCCTGCTGACATTTGGGATCTTAAAATGCTGTCCCATTTCGGTGACTTATTAGTCCGTCACTGACATGTGTCAGACAGGTTTTGCTGCCAAAATTAGGCGGGATTGCTTAATTTTCTTAACCCTTTACCGATGCTCATGACTCTGAAGTTGGTATGAGATTCGTAGCTTTTGAATTTCGGCATTCATTAAAGCGTCATTATGCTGCTTTTCAGGGAATCTGGATTTCACTCACCTAGGATTAGGGCATTTGTCAAAGTTAAAAAACATAAATTTGTCGAAACACGAATATATTATTTGACATTAGTGAGACGCGTTGATTTCTGTAAATACAGTGAAAGTGTGAAACATGTCATAACGTGCTATATTATGGATCTATTTAGTGTAGAATAACCCAGTATAACTTTGACCAGAGTATTGTACTTTTCAGGTAGGACTCTAAATTAAGATGGAACTGATAAGCGGTAGTTCAGGTTCCTTTAAAAGTGTTGAAATAGCCCTTTACTGAAGTGATAAAACTGATGCCAACTTCAGCGTCGTATCGTTGCTCGAATACTTCTGTCGCGTTGCTGTCCGTCTGCGTGGTTTAATAACCGAGAAGCGGGGGGGAGAAGGGGACGCAAACTCCATTTTTGTGTCTTGTAATAAAACTGTTAAACTGTAGCTGCGTTTGTCGTTGAGTTTATTTCTCTATGCGTCATTCAACAAGGAGGAGGGAGGGGAGCGTGAAGCATGTGGTCGGCCTTCGTTTGACTCAGTCGCATGGCCACCGCTGCGCTCACTGTTCTCAGAATCGCTTTTGGACAGTTTCACCAGCCTGTCCTTTCCTTGGACAGGCTGCAACACTTTCTGACTGGGTTCCGTTCTTCAGGTGAATTCTGTCAGGTGGGAAGTCCAGAGAGACATTGGGTCATCAGTTTTTGTTGTTGTACGGTTGAGGTCTCGAATTAAGCGTTTCTGTCCAGTCATCTGCAGTCCGGAATATTGACTTTTGTTAAAAAAAAAAATTCCCTACTGGTCCCTGAACGAGTCACGTTTCCAGCCATGAGGACGCTCCCCTCCCCAGACCTCTGATTGGCTCAAGGGTTCTACACGCTGATTTGCTCAGTGGGCCTCGGACTACATTTGAATAGAATGATGGGAGGTTCACAAAGATCCATGTGGCGGATGTAAAAGACTGTCGACCTTTGCCCCGGGTTCAGTTCAACAAAATCCACTACTGACACATGCTTCAAACGGTTATGTAAAAAAAAAAAAAGAGTTGGTCATAGACACAGCAGGTGAGCAGAATAGTGATTCATCTGATCAGAATGGGCCTGTTTTGGTTTTGAACAGCTCTGAATGCTGGTCTGCAGCTCAAACTGTTTGCTGCATATAATGAATGAGAGAAGATAAATTCTCACTGTTTTCAACCTAAAAACCAACCAAACTGTTTCTGTTTTCAACCTTTTGATTTTAAAGAAAAGAAAGTGGTGTCTATATGTGAAAGCATAAATGGGGGTGGACGGCATATTACAACTTTTATATTAAAAGAGCTTTCAGTCTCACCAGATGTGTTGCATTCATTCCCCTCTTTGTTTTCTACTCTCAGGAAAATGAAACATTCAGGTCTCAAAGAAAAATGTGTTTTGGAAAAAGTGATTGGAATAATTTGCGTTGTGTGATTGAACAACCGCACGCGCATGTGTGTGTGGCCAGTGGTGCGATTGAGGAGTAGCATTAATTTACAGCAAAAGGACAGATTAGCGGCTTACGGGGACCCAGTCAGTGGATCAAGCCCGCTGGACATCAGCCAGTGTCCATATAAGTCCACAAGGACATCTGAGTGACCGGCTGGGCTGTTGCTCAGATTACCTCAGATCTTATGGTCTGCTGCTGGTGACTGCAGGGCAACTTTCCCAAAGGCAACGTGGTGTCAAACTTTAGATTTAGTTCTGGGTGAACTTGTTGAATGGGTGAAGATGAGCAGGTCCCGGTAGTTCTTGGTTCTTTTCTTTGAGGAAATGGGGATGCACTGAGGGCTCTGGAATAGCCTCTGGTGTGCATGTCGCTGTGAAACGGGAGCTGCCTCAGCTTTCTGGTAACATAACATGTCTTCCTAGGCCCATTGCAACAGCTCTCCCATGTGTGAAATGGCGGCCCTTAGCACCATCCCATAGAGCTGACACTCACACTTGTTTGACCTAAATGCTTTGCAAAACAAGCATGTTGGAATAGCTTAATGAAGCTGACTGCGTTTCACCACTCCAAGCCTTAATCTGTTGCTGGAGATGATCAGAAAGAAAATTGAGTCAAGATAGCTTCAAGATCCCCCCCACCCTGCAGATAGAATTCCTTAGTCATATTTGTCTGTAGGGAAACTGCTGAGAAAACAGTGTAAAAATGTGTTCTCTTGTAAAACATAACTTAAAAACTACATAGAAATTCACACAAGCCCCACTCTTTTTTGCCCTAATGCATAATTATGAGATTATTTTTATGCAAATTTGGTGAAAAACACCGGGTTTAAGTGACTAGGCCCCACCTGCAGGTATTTCTGTATATCTTCCACCATATTGCTGCTTCAGTCTTACCTGATATTTTATTCCACGATCAATATGGGAGTAACAAAATTTGAGCTATTCAAGTTAGTTAAAAGAATGGAAAAACATTTTTCTCTTTCCCCCCCTCTCCATACGTAGATTTTAAAAGGAATTTTAATAAGGAAAACATACAAAATTACTTTGAAATATTTGTAAAGTAGTACCAGAAAATTAGTGATTTTTGATTACAAAAAAAAAAAAAAAAAAAACACAAAAGCAGTCATGAAGTCCTGCCGGGACTGAATACATCATTTTACTTGCCACAAATGTCTCAAGTATCTGATCTGTGAGCCGATAAGTGTGCAGCGAGATTCTACCCGCATGAAAACAGGACTACGTGAATATAGTTTTAATTTTGCTTGCTGTCCTCCTGTATGATTTTGTAAACTGTAAAATAAATCTTGAAATGCTTCTTAAACAATATTAATAAAACGCAAAGGAATCTTTTGGTGACTGACACTGGATAATTATTTTTCCCCTACTGGTGACCAGACTACTAGAAACTCAAGGCCAGTTTTTCTTTTTTCTTTTAATCGGGCAGAACAAGGGCAGATCAGTGTAGAAATTGTGACTTCAGGAAGATTTAGTGAGCTTTTTCCAGTACCAGTAAGGTGATTTAAAATGAATTCTGAATATTTCCTTATAAAATATATTTTATTATTATTATTATTATTATTGTTTTGGATGAGTTGGGCAGTTAGGGGTTACCAGGAAGGCCGAGCGGTCTACATCAAGTCATTCTGTTTTATCCTCTTCAGATTTCAGACGACATCCCTGTTGGAACATGCTGGATTTGGAAACATTGGTGTACATATCAGAGTTTAGGGTCACTTTTCTGTAGAAAATGGGCCATATATTGAAAACACTAATTGGTGTATTTCTAATACGTCATAACTTCATGTACACGTCTGGCACATGAAGATGTACTGGTCTGTTTATGAAGAGATTTTTAGATTCAGAGCAATTAATAGGAAACCTTTTGGAAACTTATTTTTATTGACAACAAATGTTCTGTGGACTAAATTGGCTGCTTTCTGTATACAGTCATATTCACAGTGTGTTCCATACATTCCAACCCAGTTGTAGTTCAAGTTCAGTTCATTATTCCAATTCCAAAGTTTTCTCTGAACAACTCAGTCACTGACTAGAGTAAAGCTGCAAAGTGTAGAAAATCGTGTGATGGTCTCTGTAAATATTGCGACATGCAACACTTCATTCCTGATATGTGCTTCCTACTCAAGGTGACTGTTAGCATTTTGGCTGTCGTGTGTGTGTGCGTGTGTGTGTATGCCTGGTCAAAGCATGCTGCTGTGAGACTGTCCTACTGGCTAAATATTACATTAGCATAAAAAAAGTACAATTTCAGGACTCTCAAACTATTTTAGCCAAAGCAGATTGCACTCCAAACAGTCCTTTTTTGGTATGAATATTTCACACACTAATATTGTGGTGACGATGTATTTTCAATATAGGTTGTACAGCCAGAGCAATTCCTCTTCCTGGCAAAATTGGACAGTTGGTGGGGGTTACAGTTTTATCACAATATTTTGTTGTACTACTGCAATGATAATAAAAGTGACAATAAGAACTATTCACTTCGCTCGCCCACAGACACAAATATTGTTCTTGAAAAACACTCTAGTGTATGTGATTTTTCTATCATTAAACTGATCACATGATTAAATTATGGTTACATAATTTAATCATATTTTCAAATTTACTAATACTCATTGAACTCAAGCAATACAGACTTTTTTTTTTTTAAAAAAACATTGTTTATTTTGATTTAACATGACATAAAATCAAAATTCTTGAATTTCTCATGATAAACAATGCAATGTTTATCATAACTAAACATTGTTATGATAAACATTGCTATGTTTGATTGCATTGAGTCGTTAACTTGGCAGTGGCCCCTCACAACGAGCAGGGATGTGCATGGCGGAGGGGGTCAGTTAACGGGAAGAAATCCTGAACAGAACCAGAGCAGAAGTACAAAAACGCAGCAGCACTGAACTAGCTGTATTTCCCATGCTGAAGGCAAAAGAGTTACTGACAGCAACCCCTCTAAATGACTTCATCTCAAAGTGAAACCTAGCTAAACATAGAACCATTTTTCACACAATCACAAAACCTGAATTTTGTCCCCTTCCTACAAAACTGTTTTGCGTCAGTTTGTACTGTGGATTAACTGGATAACTTGAGCTATAATATGCTCTAAGCTGTTGCTATTGGGCAATGAATGAGACAAATGGATTCAGAACTTGAATCTTTTAAGTAGTTCCTGCATGTGTTCATCCAGACTCTAAACCTTTGACCTGCTGATTGCATATTATTGGTGGGCATTTATTGTGTAACTTACCATTTATTCAGAAAATTTTATACAAATTCTGATTTATTGTCTTGATAAATGACGATAATGTTTAATGTTAAAAAAAACTTTACTGGAAACTTTCACATTTATTTTCTCCACTTCCACAAATATTAGTGAATTTGAAAATGTGATTAAATGTAGTTGCTGCGTGCCGTTTGGTACGAATCATGCTGTAAGTGGCGGCCTGAAGAAGCTGTTTTAAAATTGGAACATTTTTCAAAGAACAGTATTTGTATTTGATGCTATGAATGCTCAAAATGTTAAAAACCAAGTACAAAAAACACCTGTAAGACAGGGAAACCCCAGTGTTCTATAAGCCTGGCGGGCCAGCAGGCTTTACTTGTGCCGCACCAGGCTAAGCTTTGCTTATTTAATTAAGCAGTTTTAAAATGTTTGCATTTTTAAGACTTTATTGTTGGTGTTCAGGTATTAATCTTCCCATCTTTCAATAGCACATAATTATTAAGTGATATTTTCAAATTTTCTGTCAACTTTAAACATCTAACTGAAAAACACAATGGATGGCTGGATGAAAAGCTGCCCTAGCCTTCAACCACTAGGCTTAGCAAGTTTTCTGGGGGAAACCTTGTGTCATTGTTTTTCCATTATCATTTATATTATTATCACAAAATATTGTAATCAAATTCTAGGTCCATATCGCCCATCCCTTCTACAGATCAGCTGCTGATCTGATTTATTGTGGCATAAACAAATGTTGTTCAGTAGCATTACATTATTAAGTCATTATTATTAACAATGGACTTAATAGAGGTTTATTATTATTCCTGTAGTTCAGCTAATAAATTCCCCTTTTTCATGCTGGAAAAACAAACAATAGGTCCATGAAAGATGTTCACCCCATCTGCAAACAGAAACTCATTCAAGTCTGTGCTGATGCGAATCGATGTGTGTGTGAGAGATGGAACAGTTACTAGCTGAGGGCCGGGGTAGCTGCTGGTACAGTCCCCATTGGGCGCTGCACTCTTCTCGCGAGCTTTCTCTAGTAGCTCATGCCGAGCTGTGAATGGGCCCAGACTATTCTTCCAAGGCTGTGTTGGAAAACATGACGCAGCTGCTTTTTGCACTGCAGCTGCTTTTTTTTTCTTTTTTTTTTTCCCTCCCCCAGTCCTTGTGGGAGGCCAGGAGGAGCAGCAAGTATCTGTCCTCCTGTGGAGGAGTATACAGTGTTTATCTCCTTTTTACTCAGCTATTAATTTCATATTGCTGAAATTTGTTATTAATCGGTAAGGTTTTCAGGCCACACAAAAGCACACTTTTGTAAATTACTGCAGTGATTGAAAATGGTTGACTGGTAGATGTTGAATGTCTCGCAAACACTAGGTTCCCTTTCTATGACATATTTTAGGACAGGAGCCTGCAATGTTTGGATGCGTCCCTGCTCCAACACAACTGAAATAAATGACTGGTTAATGATGTAAATGTGTAAAACACACTGTTATGCTATGAAGGCGTTGTGGTTGAGGTGTGTTGGAACATTGGAGTGTTCAAACACTGCAGGACTGGGAAGCTGTGCAGAGTAATCCTAACGTCTATCCTCCTTCTCTTCTGTTTTTCAGGTTTGAGTGGGACAAACTTTTGGAAAATGTGCATTGTTTGATCATAAGTGTGACAAAGACTGACAAGCAGGAAGCTTATATACTCAGGTAAGAACGGCCTGTCCTCTCCAAACATCGTCTGGCTCAGTGGTATCACCTTCACTGATGGATTTCTCTGCTGCAGTAGTATATAATGAAGTTTTATTATTAAAGTTTTCTCCTTTCTCTGTGCCACAGTGAGAGTAGCATGTTTGTCTCCAAGAGACGTTTCATTTTGAAGACATGTGGAACCACCCTCTTACTGCAAGCACTGGTGCCTCTGCTGGAGCTCGCCAGGGAGTACTGTGGCTTTGACGCCATCGAGGTTAGACACATACTGCCTTCAAATGAAACTCATCACACTTCTGTATGTAGGGGCTGCTGGGGAAGACCCTTACTGAGGCTTTTATTAATGTTTAAAACTCAATGTGTTTAAACTTGCCAGCTATTCGCTGTTTAAAGTCTAGACATTAATGCGTTTTCACCAACTTTGTAGCTGTGGCTGATTCAGGATGTTGTCCTGCTGGAAGCTTGGTGTTCAGGATGATGCCGTGTTGGCTTTCTGTACAGTTTAGGATTTCATGATACTCTTCTAACAAACATCCAAGTCCAGAAACCGAAAAGATCCATTTGCATTGGGTTTAGTTTGCACTGAGGTGCTCAAATTACTGATTAAACTGATTTCTGGATGTAATCGGTGGCACTAGATTTTTTGTTGTTGTTATTATATTACTTCACTTCCACTTCACAAAATGTGGCTCTTTGTTAGTCTGTCACATAAAGTGCATCATTGTGCAACATTGGGATTTGCACAGTGACAGTAGTTGTATTTCCATTTTGCGTGAAATTGCACAAAAAAGTATTTCACTAATATTTTTTGCATTGGGATGAGATTTCTTCCAGCTGTATTCAAATAATTGTATTTTACAAAACTAGTGGAAAGACTTAATTTGCATCATGCTCTTTTTTAGCCTCTGCTCTCCTTAAATAATGCATAGCTGGCTCCACCACAGCATCACAGCATCACAGTTCATCAGAGGTTGACTTTGACATTTGAAACATGATAAATTCCTAGCTCTTATGTCAACTTGCAGCTGATCTTTATTAACTCAAAACATTAGCAAATTTATTACATAATAATTGCATTTTTTTTTCTTCTTTTTTTTTCAACATTAGCAGAAAATCAAAGTCGTAAGCACATTTGTTATGGAAACGTCTAGTAAGTGGACAGTTTCACCATGGAGTAACTTTTGGGTGCGTTTTGTTGCAGAATTTCTTCTATTCCCGTAAGAACTTCATGAAGCCGGCCCACCAGGAGTTCCCTCATCGAAACTTTCAGGAGGAAGTGGATTTTCTCAGCCAAATTTTCCCAAGTATGTAAAGCAGATCTGACCAAGTCTAGTCATAAAGCTTTGACTGTCCTTGATTCTGGTATAAATCCTGATTTCTTCTTCCTTGCAGACGGAGCAGCCTACTGCATGGGACGTTTAAACTCTGACTGCTGGTAAGTGTCCTGAAGCTGATCGGCTGGAAATAAAGTGTATGTCCGGTGATCCTGCTTTCACTGGAAAGGCATTCAACAAAATTGAGTACTGTATTTTCAGGACTATAAGTTGCTCCAGAGTAAAAGTTGCATTTTGGAGGGAAATTTATTTGATAAAATCCTACAACAAAATCCGACATGTCATCTTGAAAGGCAATAAAAATAGAGTAGAGGCAACAACAGGCTGAATAATTGTATGGTATGCTAACGTTACATGACAAATAACAAATTGAGAATGTGCCTGGTATGTTAACATATTAAGAGTCATTCAGATAACTATAGCATAAATAACATGCTAACAAGTTTACCAAACAATCGGTGTCACTCCAAATCACTAGGCGCAATTAAATTTTTGTCCTCAATGTCCCCTAGAGTGCCCTCTTGTGGTTTAGTGTGAAAATAACATGTGATATGGTATAATGATGTGTTAATTTCCACACATAAGTCACTCCAGAGTATAAGTCGCTCCGCGGCCAAACTATGAAAAAAAACTGCGACTTATAGTCCGGAAAATTCGGTAAACTTCCTCTGCCCTAAACGACAAATAGAGCTTCTCATGTTCATCTCTAAACAAATGAACCAGCTAGTTGTAGAGTCTGCTGTGTTGCTGCAGAAATTCTGATAAATACTGCCTCCTGGTGGCTAATGAGGTGTGTCCCTGGGGCTTTGTTCCTTTAATGACGGCACATTCAGAGGTGTCAAGCCCCTTCCTTCTGGATTGTTCTGACCGCTCCGTTGCCCTGCAGGTACCTGTTCACCCTGGATCTGCCAGAGTACTGGGAAAACAAGAAGGCCGATCAGACGCTGGAAGTTTTGATGAGCGACCTCGACCCAGCCATTATGGACCAGTTCTACATGAAAGACGGTGTTTCTGCAAGTGAGGTCACTCGTGTAAGTAACCTGAAGCAGCAGTGGCTGTTCGTAGCGACGGGGGAAGAGTCCTAATTAGAGATGCATTGATCTGATATTAAAGGGGCAGCATTATACAAGATTAACTTGTTTGAGCTTTACGTCACGTTATCATAATATTCCCTCATCTAAAACATAATCTGCAGAGTTGCCTTGATTCTTTCATGTGTGTTTGAGAAATCCTTAAATCTCCATGGCAATCTCTGGAAAAACACCTGGGTGGACCTCGCTCCACCTTGGATACACAGCTTCTCCTCAGAACTGCAGTTTCTCAGTTTCAGCCTCACAGAGCAGTCCTACTGCACTCGGTTCCTTCAGACTAGCCAGCAGCAATTTGCATTTTTCTGGTGGAATTGCACAATTGCTGAACTCATTTTACAAGTTACTTCTCAATGTAACACTGGTAAAAATGTTTCAGAAGACAGTGGATCGGTGCATCCTCAGTCCTAACCGTCTCCTCCCATTCTGCCCTCAGAGGAGTGGAATTCGTGACCTGATACCAGGTTCTGTGATCGACGCCACAATGTTCAACCCTTGTGGATACTCAATGAACGGAATGAAGACTGATGTGAGTAGCGACATTGCCGTCTTCAGTGCCGGTGGATGCGAGCTCGTTGGTGACTTGCTGTTGTTTGTGGTGTGCAGGGAACTTACTGGACCATCCACATCACCCCGGAGCCAGAGTTCTCCTACGTCAGCTTCGAGACCAACCTCTCCCAGACGTCCTACGACGATCTGATCAGGAAGGTCGTTGATGTGTTCAAGCCAGGAAAATTTGTGACTACACTTTTTGTCAACCAGGTGTGTGCAGCTGTAATGTCGTTTCAGTCTGTTTTAATTAACTTCAATTGACAGCTCATGTCATCTGGAGGCACAATAACAGGTTGGATTTCCATCCAAGTATATTGGATCTTATCGAATATCATTGAATCTTGGGCTATGCTCTTAATAGGTCATTGTTGAAAATTAGAATTGATTCTTCATCCTACTTGGTTAAATTAAAACCAAGTTAAGTATTATTTTAGTAACTGAGTCATGTGGTGATTTTTCTGATAACTAATCAAAAAATATTGTCCTGTGCCGTTTTAGCTATTTCAGCTTGTACAAAAAAAGAGAAAATGCTGATTAAAAACAATCAATGCTTATTTTAATTATAAAATAACCTTTAATTATTTGGTATGCAGTACAATTCAAACATTTCTTTTATTCCCTACTTTGAAACTTTATGAAAAAAAATTTAAGTTGCAACAACAAATATTTCACTTTAATTTAAAAAAAAATTAAAAAGCAAACTGGTGTTATGTTATACTTAGAAGTATTAAAAAAACCTAATGAAATTTTCTAATGTATTTTTTCAGTCATTACTCTTATCAAGAAGTATAAATATTAGCCAGATTGTGTACAATCACAGAAATTTTGCTGGGAATAAAAATATCACCCACAAAATTAGTTTTAGCAACATGTGAATCTCACAGGTTTCTCGTTTTTTTTTTTTTTTTTTAAACAAGAGTTTTATTTTTAGTGATTTTTACGTCTCATCATAGTGAGATGCTGCTCCTGAATTTTTTTTTAAGCTGTGGCAGATAAGCACTGCCATAGTTTATGCCCTCAGAACAAAGTTTAATATTTGTCTAGTTGTTCTGTGGTCGGAAACAGTCAAATATTTGAATATAATCAAATCCTCATTTTAGAGGAAAAACTGTGAGATGCTTCCAAGCCTCAAAGGCCATCCCAACTAAAGCATGGGAGAGGTAGCATCATGTTGTGTGGACACTATTAATACAATGTGTAAAGTTACGCATTTGATCTTTATATAATCAGGTCAGTCCCATCATTATTAAAAGCAAGTTCTGGTTTAATTGAGTTTATTTAAATATAGAAAAATATAAACAAAATAAAAACAGTAGTCCCATCCAAACACAGATAAATATGGGTAAATATTAAGTTATTTTCAGCATATTTTATGTGAATTTACTTGATGCAGAAGGAGTCATGGTTTTACTATACCAGAGAACTTACAGAAGTCCGTACATGGTAGCATAGCAATTGGCAATGTGTTCCAGAACTTTGAGGCTGCACAAGAAAACGCTGACTTCCTAAAGGAAGTTCTACACTTTGGAAGGCTACATTCACTCCTAGTGGTCCATCAAGTATAAATCAATGGTGTATAATTGTTCTTTGTATATTTTCACTCAATTGTTCCTTTTCTTTTTTTTTTCTTTTCCACAGAGCTCCAAGTGTCGCAGTGTCTTCTCTTCCCCCCAGAAACTCGAGGGCTACAAGCGCCTCGACCGCCAGTTGGCTCAGTTCAACGATTACAATTTCGTCTTTACAAGCTACGCCAAGAACCGCCAGCAGAACCAGCAGAGCTGAGGGTTGAGGATGAAGAAGAGGCGCAAAAAGAAAGTTGGTGGCAGCTGCCACTGTCGCTTGGGCGCCACATCCTCGGCCGTTCCCGCCTGCTCGGCGCCTGCCCGCCTCGCCCTGGGTTTACCCTCCAGTTTGAGTTGTTTGCTTTGTCGTAACTGTGACTTAAGTCTCTTGCATGAAAGCTCTTCTCGCTGTCTCGATATTCTAGCTCACTCTTGCTGTGATCCTGAGGTGCATGTAGAGGAATTAACCGTGTTCTGTTCCAGGCTGTCCATCGGCGCCCAGTACACCGGTACCTTCCTGCAGGTCTCTCCCCTCATCCCCCACAGACAGGGCTTCCGCCCACACTAGAGCAGGGCCCTGGCACACTCAGACCGGACCGCCTCATCACGGCTCACTTAAGACGCATTGACCTTCCAAATTCTCAGATCTTTTGACTTGATCAGGATGTTTATAGTTTGCCCTAAATTTGGGTGATACTTTTTGTTGCTGTACTGAGCACTACAGCAGTGAATCTCTGCTTTGCTGGGCCGTAATGCGTCTCTTCATTTTCCAGTTTCTTGGCATCATCTTTCTTTTTTTTTTTTTTCTTCACAATTTGCCCTTGTTAGGCTGATGTGATTTGGCCCACTGTCTGAATGTCCGTTTCCATGGAGAACAGCCTGGAGCGCGTTTGAGCTGAATGTCTGACTCCAGGAGAGCAGCTGGCGCAGTCACAATGCCCTCTGCTGACCAAACGTTTTCCAGTCCTTGCAGACCATGGAGCCGACCATCCTGGCTGCTACAGTGTCGAACGCTTTCAATGAATCAGACACATTTAGCTCAGTTGAACAGCAAAGCGCTTTTTGTTTTTTTGCTTTCTCTCTGTGTCCGTCCTCTCTCTCTTTCCGCCCCATACAGAAATCTGTAAAAGCACAATGGAGGCCCACCGGTCTGAGCATGCCAGGGTGAACCCGGATCATTCCACATATAACTCCTGCCTAAACTGCCATTTTATTAAATTGATTGTCTCCCCCCTAACTTTAGAATCAGTTGAAAATAGGACTTCCTAGCAGTTTTCTTTGTTTGGATGACTGGTCCTTTTGTCCGTTGAGGGGGACGTCCTGTGACACTGTGGTGCATGTGACTTCTAGTACCGTGTTGCTTGACAGCCTAGTGCCACCTCTTCCTCGTTTTATTTGTGCTTCACCTTCCAGCTGGAAGCACACATAGAAGCTGCTGCATCCTGACATGTTAAAGGGTTTTATTTTCTTTTTCGATATTTTCACGGGTTCAGTTAAGTTATAGTTTATCTTAAAGCTGCGGGGAAGTTATTGGAGCAGGTTGGAGGGATTCCCTAACCCTCACTCTTCCTTAAGACTTCCCAACAGCTGCAGTGGTTTTAAGGAAATCTTAATGCTACTTTTTGGGGATCATTGCCATTTTGTTTTCTTTTTATACAGTGAAGTCAATGCATTGTTACAGTAAAATCAGAAAATTTTATACAAAGCATTTTGTATTTCTGCTGCGGACCAATTTTTCATTTCCTCTTTTGTGTTCAAATGTTAAAGCGGTTTCCCCAAACTAGTTTGTTCAGAAGTTAAGGGATGACTATTTTTTTTATTTTTATTTTTTTAAGCTGACTAACTCTTGTGAATTAATAAATATCTGACTCTCCACTCCTTAAAGTTGGAGTGATTTCCCCCTCTGGGGTCGAGAGGGTGCAGTTATCTGGATCTGTCAGGATGTACTGAAGGAGACACTTTGCTGTTCTAATTTCTTTTGCTGTTCTTTGGATGGTCAAGATGTGCTAAATATATCTGTGCTATGAGCTTGATGCTTCAATAAAAGATATTTACCTGTTCAATGACTCTGTCTGTTTTCATATATGTGGAATTTAATCAGCTGAAGTAAAAATGTATATATTAATATATGTAATATATCTATTAATTTAATATTGCTGTGGTATCTTAACAAAACCTGAACAGAAGCAGTTTGGCCAAGTTAGCCCAATAAAATATTCAAAAGTAAAGACTTATGTCACTGCACCAAGTTCTGGTTCTGCTGGAGGTTTCTTTCTGTTAAAGGGAAGTTTTTCTTCCCTGCTGTCGCCACAAGCTTGCTGAGTTTGAGGAATTGCTGTAAAGACAACATAACACAAGCGATTGTCAGCTGGTTCAGGAGGACTGAATGCTGCTAGCCCACAATTCAATGCAATCTGATGGGTTTCCTTAGAAAACAATAACTAAACTTAATAAACGTTTGATAAATTGGCTCCGTTAGAATGAATTCATTTGAATTAACTTTTTTTGTGCTAAATGGCTTGAGATGAGGTGTGAATTGCACTCAAGTTGGAAGACACCAGTGCTACCAACTGTGCGACTCCCAGCTTGTGAGTGAGAAGGATCATATCGCCCCCCGAAGGACAGAATGTGAATTGTTCACTCTTCTGATGAAAAATTTCTTTGATCTCTTTTTTGGTCTCGCTTAACAGAAGGATCTGAACTGCAGTGGCAGAGTTCTGACTGCAGGTGGCAGTAACACAGCTGTATTAACCAAATCGCATGAGCAAAATAGAAGCACTTCCTGTTTTTCCGGTGCGAAGCTTCACGTGGATATAAGTGCAGCACGAGCGCAGCACTGCTGAACGACAGTAATAAAAGCTTAAAAATGGCGCAGTTAGACGGAATAGTGTAAGTAAACTATGAGAACTATTTTATAGGAAGCTGCTGGGTGTAAATGTCTATTTATTCCACGTTCATGTAACATTTTCTTGAAAGAAAATTTACACTAACTCGAATGCTCGCTAGTTAGCTAACTTGCTGTAATTGTTGTCACAGTAAAGAATTTTAAGCCCACGCTCATGAATGTTCTCCAGTCTTTAAAGTCTATAATGTCGAGCCCAAACTTAAGTTTTAAGTGGTATTACTTAAGTAGTCATAATTAAAGTCTTGGCAAACGGTTTCCACAGTGACACAAGTTTTATGTTTGTAACACAAAGACAGGATGAACAGTAATCATCTAGCATAGAGAAACCCTTACTGTCCAGCGTTAATCAGGCATATAGAAGCTTAACAGTGACCTGGTCTTTCTCAGTTTCTAAAATAATTTTTTCAAACATTTAGCTGACAGATTTCAAATCAATAGCTTATTTAAATCTAAATAGTCATGTTTTTAAACTCTTTTCCTAAGAGGACTACGGAATTACGGATTTGAAATGTCTTAAAACGTCTCTGCCCCTGTCATAACTGATGCAGCTTTGGTGGTTTGTTACCTTGTGCCTTTTCTTGGTTTCCTCAGAAAACCGAAAACAAAGCGGTCAAAGCGTTTCTTGGAGAGTAGAGCGCCCAAACTAATTGAGGATGTGAAGAACACCATGATCATGAAAGGAGGAAACAGCAGTCAGACCGTCACTACGGCCCTCAAAGACATAGTAAGCTGCTACTGATGAGGTTAAGAAATGCTGTCTTTTCTGTTTAGTTTCATATTATGTATAACTCGCTTCAAAACTGGATGGAAGAAAAACTTGCAAAGTTATGGCATTGCTTGTAGTGTTACCTCTCTGTGGCTGACACATTTTCATTACAGGGAGAAAGAATAGTAAGCACATAGAAGTGGATCTCTGTATTTGTCTTTTTTATGCCAGATTAGTGAGCTGTGAAAAAAAATATTTCGTAATCTCACAAAAGTGTTTTCTTTTTTTGTAGTATTCCTTGAAGAAGCCAAATGCTGTGCTTTACAAAAAGTAAGTGAACCTAAAAGCTTATTTGTGAGATTCAACACATTTTAGGAGTATTAGTCAAATGTAGGCTGATTTTTTTTTTAAATGCTTGTTGAATCTAATCCACATCCAGTGTTGTTTTTTCCCAAAGAAGTTCCATGAATGTCCTGGAACACTTGAAATCTGAATATCTGAATGAGTAGAATATCCATTTGTACTAATCTGATGGTTGAAAAACATAAATAAAAGATTGAAGCAATAAATATCTCTGTTTACCTATACAATAATTTTGCAGCAAAGTGGATTCTTGAACTGAAAATGTTGTTTATTTTAACTATATATAGTTTTAGGTTAAAATCAGATTAACTAATCATAGACTGTAATTGACCTAACTAAAGTCCCACAATTAATTTTAAGTCTAAAACTTTTACAAGTTGAAAACTGTCTGCTGGTCCAGATTTTAGACTATGACATTCTTGAATCTGTTTCACAAATAAGGAAATGGAGTCAAAAGTCACACAAACGCCTTGTAAATATTTCTGTAGTTGGTAATGGTTTAAGTTAGTTAAACATCCTGCAGTAACTATAGTTGCACATTATGACAAATAAAAACTCTTGTGAATTATTCAACAGATACATACGTATAGATTCTAAATGGAGATACTGTTATGTGTTATTTCCAGAAAGAATATTACTCGGCCTTTTGAGGACTCCACATCCCTGGTAAGTCAGTATCACGTTCATCTGACACGCTTCTTTCACAGCTTGAGTTGCTGTATTTGCAGTGATCCTTGCTGGTCCCTTTTCAGGAATTTTTCTCCAAGAAATCAGACTGCTCTCTGTTTCTGTTTGGCTCCCACAACAAGAAACGACCCAACAACTTCATATTTGGTAAATCCTGATCATCTGCTACCTGGAGATAGCTCTCCATGAGTCTGCAGCATGAAAGTAAAGCTGGCACCATTATTCTGTGTGAGATGTGTTTGTTTGCTCATTTATTTTTTTCATGCTTTGCAGGTCGAATGTTTGATTTCCATGTCCTGGACATGTTTGAACTAGGAATTGAGAAGTTTATCTCTCTGAGTCAGATCAAGGTAATGCTTTGGTTGGGTTTACCATGGACAGGTGATGAATAGGGCAAAAATGATTAGTCATATAAAGTCAGTCATAGATTTAATCATTAACCAAAAAAAAGGCCATTTACTGAAAGAACAGCACACAGAGCAGTAATTAAACCAAAAAATGTACATTTTGAATTATGGTAAACACACCATTGTCTGTCATTATATTTCACTCAGAAATCCTCAAATGCCATTGTTTTAGGTTCAACTGCTTAAAAAAAACAATTTCCTACTAAGCACCTTTTGCTGTCCAGTTAATCCAAAGAAGACTCAACAGATTTAATAAGTTGAGCTTTTCACATGTCGATGTTAGAAGAATTATTTAACTGCAGATGTATCTTTTGTTACATGCAATCAATGGCATGGCTAAAGCAAGGCCAGCTTATGGCATTTTAGGAAATACATTTTATTCCATGTTTAAGTAAGAAATGTAATTATTTGTTTATTTTCAAAATTGTATAAAAAAGCTTAAGTGGTTGAATGGAAAATGTGCAGAATTTGCCAATTTCTTATTTTCATCTATAAAACCGATTGCTAAATTAATAATTAATTTCAGCTCTAGTTGTGATTTTCTATGTCTGTGTCTGAAGTGCTATAAGTAAAATGTTTATGGAAAATGTCCGTAACGATAGAGGAGTTCAGTGAAGCTTCGGTGAACCAGTTTTCCCATTACAGTGTAGGTGAATCACACATCCAGCTTCCTCTGCTAGAAACATATACAGTAGAAATAGATTGTTATGACAATCTTATCTTATGACAGTTCTTATCCTAAGATAACGGCTCCAGCTTCAGAAACAGATCCTATTTTAAAAACCGTGTCTTTTGGTTCCAGACCAGCAAGTTTCCTGAAGGAACCAAGCCCATGCTCATATTCGCCGGAGAAGTTTTTGATACAGACAATGAATATAAACGACTAAAGAGCCTGCTCATAGGTATGCAGAGATCAGTCTGAGGGACTGGAGCTCCTTACTGCCATGCAGCTGCTCAGATGGCGTATTTGTTTGTTTGTCAGACTTCTTCAGAGGCCCTACGGTGCCTGCAGTGCGTCTGGCAGGTCTGGAGCACGTTCTGCACTTCACCGCCCTGGAAGGAAAAATCTATATGCGTAGTTACAGGTGAGTAAAGGAAATGATCCTTAATCCCTTAAGATGCCACACGTCTGGGGTGGAGGTGACTTTGCTTCTGGGTTTAAACCAATAAAAAAAACTTACTGAATTTGTAATTGGCATAATGCTGCTTGCTGATTAGTTTCTTATTAACCAATGACAATGAAGTTCCGGCTCTTAACATGAGAAAAGATGAACATGGATATGAAACTATAGGAGGGAACGTATCTGTTTTCCATCAAAAATCTACATTTATGTTCATGGTAGCCTATAAAATGATATCAGTATTTGAAGTTATTTTGAAAATATTTTCTGACAAATTGTAGGATTTTAAGTAAAATGGTAATCTCAAAGGACATCAGGAATTTGGATTCATTATCTAACATTTAATCACGTGGTATATCCACAGTTGAGAAATATCCATTCTCCATGCTGAGTTCTTGATGTATGAGATAAAAAAAAAGTCAGTGAATTCCATTTAATAATACCATAATACCAAAACATAGCTGGTCCATTATGTCATGCCACCTTTAGGAGGTAACAGACAATAACGCAACCCAGAAGAGTTTGTGATCCCCTTTGTTAGCCTCTATGTAAACTACGCCCCGAAAGGGCCTTCCCTAGTGTGTCAGCCTTTACCGCTAGCTCCCATTTGCATTTCCTAACATGTCCTTTCCTCTAGCTTTAGCTTAGCAACTAGCCAAAATAGATAAGAGGAAATCACAGAATTATTTATTCTCAACACCACACAAAATAAAAAGTATGTAAGCATTTAGTGTCTAATGTGTGGTTTTAAAATTCTCTTATTTTGTGTTTTTTTTCTGATTGAATTAAATTCTCATACCTTCTTGAACTGTTAGTAAATGGAGACAAATCTGATATTGGCTGTTTGGATTTAAGAAATGAGGCAAGTGAGAACAAGACTGACATGGATAGTAAGCTGAGAAGTGAAGGAAGTTCAGCTTTTAGTAGTTTTTAGTATACCAGAGGCTCCACAGTAACAGCGTGTCATTGTGGGGCTGCAGGTGTCTGTTGAAGAAGTCTGGGTGTCGCACGCCCAGGATTGAGCTGGAAGAGATCGGCCCATCGTTCGACTTTGTCATGAGAAGAACACACCTGGCGTCAGATGACCTGTACAAGCTGGCTCACAGGCAGCCCAAAGCCCTGAAGGTAAACCTGACTGCTTGCTGCTGTTAATGACAATATACAGCAGCACCTCAGAGGATTAAAGCATCACAGAGCAGATGACCTATTTAAAAACTTATTGTAAACGTAAGACTTGAGACCCAGTTCAGACTTTTGTCCTGAAGAGTTGACTTTGTCTTGTGGTCTGAGACTCAAGTCTTCATTGTAGTTTTTATCTGGTGTAATGAAGAGTGACAGGAAGCCGGTATGTTAGCTACAGTCTGCAGCAGCTGTACCTTTTAATCTGAACGTATTGATTATTAGTAATTCGTAAATTATTGGATGTTAATGACTTGTAACCATCTGTTCATGTTAGCTGTGGCTTCATAATAATGATCACATCGTGCAAACTGAACACTGCTCATTAACTATGAATCAATTTAGATCATAATAGTCTTGCTGCTAAGCTTGCTGCAACATTTCGAGGACACATTCGGCTAAAAATGCCAAAATAAAAGCACTTCCAGTTCTGTTCACTCACAAGTTTAACATTCATACGAACTATATTTTTGTCTTGTACATTACGTTGTAATTTTTACCTTAAATTTGAATATCTTTACTGTTCAGATTAGTTTTGGATGCGGATGTAGGAAATGTCTCCCGGATTACTAAAGCTTCTCCAGGTCACTGTATGGTTGTCATGGTACTAATATTTCACACTTTATATTGATACAAGGAAAATTACACGATGTCATTTTTGATACTGTGGCAACGTTTTTCAGAGGAACAGGGTTCTTTCTACTAATGAGCAGAAAATATAATTAATTACACTATAACACCATTTATATATTTTGGTGTTATATTTTATTGGGGCAAGGGCAAAAATTAGGGAAGTATTCAATTGTGCAATAATTTAATAATTTAAAAATGTTACTTCACCATGTTACCACAACAGTAGACAAGATAACACTAGCAATCCAAACCAACACCAAACTCACCCACAAATCAATAATAAACACTATTTTCACACTTTTTGTGGATATCTTTTGAAAGTAGAATATATTGTATACAGCAGGTATTTATGTTGTTGCTGTCAAATACAGTGAGTCTAAACTTGTAATAGTCTGTAATACTATTGTAATACAGGTACCACATTAGACCACCAGACTGCACAGCTCTATAATTTGATTAATATAAACAAGTACATATATATTTTAAAATAAATAAGTAGGCAAAGGACTTAATTACGTTCTAAAAACTAAAGCTTTTCAAGATGTCATGTGTAATGACTGTAAATGTCCTCAAGATGGTGGTAGAGGGCACCTCGTCATGCAGTATAAAATGAAGACCTTGTTCAGCTGATGTTAAAACACCTGTTTTTTGTTGTTGTTTTTCTTCTACAGCCAAAGAAGAAGAAGAACATTTCCCATGATGTTTTTGGAACCTCGTTTGGCCGGGTGCACATGCAGAAACAGGATCTGTCCAAGCTGAGAACGAGAAAGATGAAGGGCCTGAGGAAGAGGAAGGGGGAGGTGGTTGATGAAGATCAGGAACCTAAAGTGGCCAAAGTGGAGAGCTGAAGGCATGGAGATGGATTCACGGACATCAGCTCATGTGTTGCCGTCCTCCAGTCCACTGCAGACCCATATGTGGGTCCTTTTTCATGTGGCTTTCAGGAAGTCAGAGAACATTCTAACATCTCCTAATTATCACATTGTAGAAACCTTTCAGTCTGTTTTTTTGTTTTGTTTTGCTTTTGTCAAATCATTTAAAAGCAAAAATAATAATAAAAAAAATAACAATCATCTCAACTTTCAGGCTTTGTAATTTTATTTGGAACCCCATAGTTTCCAACCCATATTCACTGCTCCTAAATGACAGCGCCAAAGGTTGTAGGTCAACATTGAAGTTTTCAAATCTCAATCTAAAATAGTCCTAGTGTGATGAAGCTTTTTTAAGGATTTAAAAAAAAAAACTTAAAAAAATTTTTTTTAAGGATTTCTTGAGGTCTGACCAGTCTTTAAGTATTTAAGATTTTGGACCAGAGACGGTCAAATACTGCATAGATTCATAAATATGAAATACCCCTTTAACTTTGTGTCAAACCAAAAGCTTTCCATCAGATACAGAATTTTCCATCACCAGCTAATCATGGAGTTCAGCAACATGATCCCTGCACACCAAAGGAGGGCGCCTATTCGCCCCTTAATGGACTCATGCTGTAGGAAACATCTCCAGTGCACAACTTGCATTATTTTAAATTTTGTCTTGTTTTCCCCCAGGTATTGCCACCCTGGGCAGAGAGCCATTATCATCCATTTCTGAAACCACCAATTTTGGTCAACAATAATTTTTGACTTGGAGAATATTATAGATTTTTTTTAAGTGTTAATGATAAAGAGGTCAAAGCTCCAATGTATCAACAGTTCAGATCAGTACGTGTTTGGAAACATTTTATATGGGAAATAGATAAAAGAAAGCCGGATTTCTGCCAGCAGCCATCAACAATTAGACTTAAAATTAGATGCAGCTTCCAGAATAAATCAGAACAGTAAACAACAGTGTCCATCCACTGCAGATGGAGCAGTCTGGAGGCTTTTCACACTCATTTGCAACATGCATCAGCAGGAAATTACATTCCGATTTGTCAGTGATGACAAGTCCTTTCAAATTAATCTGGAGGGTTTGCTTTTCAAAGTGATTCCAACCTCTGATGCCTGGACAGATGGAAGCACGTTCACTGAGTTCACTTCTTTTTATGGAAAGGAAAATATTCTAAAACTGTTCCTATAAGTGTTCCAGATTAATGCTTGCTGTGTGTGTGTGCACAGATTGAAATTAGAAAATGGTAAGCAGTATGCACTAGTTCTTTGTCTTACAAATAAGTAGTTTATAGGTGTTAAAGGGTCATTTCCAACCAAGAAATTTTCTAACAACTTTGCATGTTATTTGACCAATTCAGACCTGATTCTCTTCTCCCGCTGATGGAAACTCATCCTCTCAGAATGGTGCTGCCAATACCACCATGTTCAGTTTGTGCAGCGCAGCCATAAAGTTCAGTTTTGGACCTATCTGATTGGAGCACATCATGTGACCTGCATGACTTGTGGTGTTGTGAACTTCCTCTTTGATTCAAAAGGCATACTGGAGAGCCTGACTGATGCTGTACTATTTACTTAGTTAATCTTGTGTATTTATTGCTTTCACTCAGATATTTCAACCATTGCATTAAAGTTCCAAACACTCCAAATTGTGACATTTTATTTAGTACATGGAGTCAGCATTTGGTTGTTATATCGCTAAAAACATGCATCAAAAATGGTCCAGTCTAGATTTTATGATGGACCAAACTACTTTGGCTTATTTGAACAACTTTTCACAGATGACTGGTTGGCTGCCTTTGTTTCTAAATTGTTACTGTAAATTGTTTTCAGCTTACAAATTGAATTTCTAAAACTTCATACTCTTCAATGTAACACAAATCACAGTGCTACAAAGACTCACAATATGAATTGCTGACAAAAATGTTCTTTGCATAACACGTTGGTCAGCAGATTCCAATATTCAAAACATGAACTAGGTAAATGGCTAACATATTTAATAAATTAGAACATGGACTCAGATGAGGCCTGTTAGTCAGATCAACCCTTGTCCCTGGGGGGTCGGTGCCTGTAAGTTATCATTTGAAAGCTGCATTTTGTATTTACTCAGACAATCCTTAAGATTTGGTTTTGATGTGATGCTTTTAGTTGAACAAAAAAACAACAACAACACAAACAATAAATGTGCCAGGGGCCAACACCTTTGCCTGGATCCTTTCCAGTTGTTTGGGGGAATCTAGTAATTAAAGAAGTTCCTGGTGCCGGTTCAGTTTCCTCTGTGGATTTCTGTAACATTGATAACCAAACGGGACACCTCGTTTCTCCAGAACCCTGCAGAGTTAGAAATGTGACTCCTCTGATGCAGTGCGTGGCCCCCAGCATCCAATGAGCTGCGGGATGCCCCGGAGCCCCGCCCCTCGGCGATGTCTATTTATAATATTGCAACAGCAGCTTTTTGACAGTTATTACCCTCTCTGTTAGCAGAACCTCAGGAAACCACAGCTTCATCTCGGTGAACGCGGCCTCACCTTGACCCACAGCGGCTTCATTCCCATCCGACCTGAGCCCCCGGCACAAACTCCAACTTCTCCTTCTCTGAGCTGCTTCATCTTCAAGAGAAACAATGACAGAGGGGAACAATGTGACGGAAAGTGACAACAAAGAGCCTACCGCCGGAGACGTGCCCGTTGGGCCGGTCCCTGCGGAGGAGGACAAGCAGGAGAACGGAGACTGTAAGGTGGACTCGGCGGACAAAGCCTCTCCTCCCGCGGCGGAGGAGGTCGAGTTCGTCCATCCCGAGGGCGGCTGGGGCTGGGTGGTCATGCTGGCATCCATGTGGTGCAACGGCTCGGTGTTCGGGATCCAGAACTCCTTCGGCTTGCTGTTCTTGTCCATGTTGAAAGAGTTCGGCAAAGAGAACGACGAGGACCTGCGCTTCAGAACCTGTGAGTAGCTGCAGCGCGCTGCCACTGTGAGTCCAGTGGGCTGAGACCGGGAAGACGCGGAGTCGAACCAGCAACCTCTGCAGCAGCAGCAGCCTCAACACAAGCACACGCTGTCCTTTCATCTGCTGCTTTTCTTTAGGCCCATTGTCTCACATTTAGTTATTACTGTACTTACTGTAAGTGAGCTAATGGCACCTGAAGACAGGAAGAAAGAAAGAAAGAAACAAAGAAAGATAGAAAGGAAGAAAGATAGAAAGAAAGATAAAAAGAAAGAAAGATAGAAAGGAAGAAAGACAGGAAGAAAGAAAGATAGAAAGGAAGAAAGATACAAAGAAAGAAAGATAGAAAGGAAGAAAGAAAGAAAGAAAAAAAGAAGGAAGTCGTTTTCTGCTGTGACAAGGGGAAAACCCACATGTCAAACAAAAGAGCAGTGGTCCAAGTTAATAAAACTACTATAACTGTTGAGGAAAAATCTCCTATGCTATTACCTTCCTACATATTTAATTTAAGCTTCTACTAATTTTTTTTCATTACACATGGTTTAATGGGTATTTAATAAGAGCTATTTGCAGCTGATAATAAATAAATAAGAGCTACAGCAGCAAGACAAAATATTAAAATGTATATTTTTTATGCCATAGGAATAAGAAAAACAGTTGCTAGTCTAATTTACTTGCAACATTCATCCGCAAGGCAACTCAAAGGAATGGATGGATAGAAAATGAAATGAAAGAACAAAAATAGTCTCATGAAATGACAGAAAAGGTTGACTCCGCGTTTAAGACAGACCCAATCTTCAGACACAAAGTATTGTTTGACCTTTTTTGGGAACTCTGTGGTAAACAAGAAGATTTTTGTGTCCCTTTTTTATGTTCTGGATCCAGAGTCATCACGTGTGTGTCTAGTGGTTTTATGGCTCTTGATAGGTAACCCCCAACAAGCAAGATAAATGTTACTATGATTTTAAATTTGTAATGTTTTACAATTAAGGGCCACAATACTTTAGAAACTAGTGAAATATGATTCATTTTTTATGACCTAGTCTTGGTTTTTAAATACACTGAACTGCCTGATTCGGTTGATCAAACACATTGACATTGTGTTTTTCTGTCTCCTGTTTATTCTTTCCAGTTTATTCTCATTATGTTTCTAAGATGGTAATAAAATAATTTAGAAACAGAATTTGTTGTTAATAATATAATCCTATAATTACACCAAAATTTCTTTTTCATGCTCTTTTGTGTTTTGTCCTCCTGGATTCGGTTCAGTGGTGATTTCGAACTGTGTATAAAATTGGTAGAAATGCTGACCGATTTGCTCATATAATGCACAGGATCACACTATAATGGAGGGACGGTGATGCAGATTCATAAAGTTGCAGATTATTAGCATTTGATCAAAGGTGTCATAATTTTCTGTCAAGTGAGCCAAGAACACAGCCTTGAGGAACGCCATATGTGATCCTTACTGACTTAGATTTACAACTGTAGTCTGGATTTCCAAAATAAGATGTTAATCGAAACCTTGAGCTTATATCTTCTGAGTGAATTCCTTATCAGATTTAGGCTTCGAATTATTAAAAAAAACAAAAAAGAAACTATTTTATTCCTTGCTGAAATAATAACATATTAATGAATTTTCTTCAGTCCCCACTGGGTGGAAATGTAGACACACCTGAATCACCTAAATTTGAAATTAAAAGCTGCTCAAATTTCCATAATGTAATTTAATTTTTTTTACTTTTCAAGACCTAAGTGACTCTTATTGGTTATTTTTATTTACTGAAGCCAGAGTGACTTCTTTTTTCAAGGAAAAGCGAATGTATTCTGCAGAAACATTTTTAGCAGATAAGACTTTTAAGCCGAACAGCACTATCAGTTGTCAAACACGGCGGTGGTTGCATCATGCTGCGGGTCTTCTAAAGTAGTTTTAAAATAAAGGGAAAAAATCACCTCAAATCAGCAGCTGAACGAATGAAAGCTGTCCCAGTGAACCCAAACACATCAAAAGTGATTTAGGAAAAAACTCAATTATTTTTGTTAGAGGTTTACCAAGATCTTAAAAATTCACATTATTCATTTTTCTGCATATCTCTTTGCTCTAAAGCTATACACAGCAGAAGACTGACTCCTGTCAGTCTTAGACAGGAAAAGGTCATAATGGGAAATTTGTGTGTGAGTAAGACAGAATGAATTTGTCCAAGAATAATGTAATTATGGCCTTGCTGTTCCAGTGACTATAGCCACATGTTATCAATGCTGCTGCCTGAAAGATGAGGATATAGGATTAAAAACAGCACAAAGAAGCTGTTGGTTTTCTGTTTCCTGAACATCTTGGAGACCCATTCTGGTGCTGCAGCTTATTACCTTTGGAGAAGCCTGACTGTACTGCAGTCCTCAACTCCTAAAGGACGAACTGATCTTTAACTCTGGTAGAAATAAAGTTATGATGCAACGGGAATGTGAAATTAGGATGTTATATTCAGCAAAAAGTTTTGGTTGTTAGATATTTTGTCATGATTTGCTAGGTCTCTTCAGCAGTTGAACAGTAAATTTCAGTAAATTTAAAGAATTTTCAAAGCTCCAGCTCTTGCTCAACCCCCAAAACGTGCAGTATCTTATATGATGACAGGAGGCATGGTCATGTGTGGAGAGGGCATTGACACCAGGGATCAAGGTTCTGTTTTCTGTTATCTTTTCAAACTCAGTACCGTTCTGTGAGATGCAAACTATGATAGAGCATGAAAACTAGACTGGTATTCTTATATTTTGTAAAAGGACAACCATACTTGTTTTATATCTTAAATAATTATTATCTGTAAAACACCGGAAAAGAAAAAAACAAACAAAAAAAACCCCCAATGTATTTAAATGCAACATAATAAATAAGGTTTCGTTTTGATTTTAGTCACAGTTCCGTGTAAAGAAGTAGAACCTGGATGGACCTAGACGGTTCATACCCAATAAGTTTCTAAGATTTGTACACCTGAGCCTGGTAGACAAAAATAATAATTATCAATCTCCTTTTGAAGACAGAAAACCCGTGCACTGATTTTAAATATCAGCTCAGTTTTAAATATTTTTGTGTGACAGGAATATCATTTAAAAAGCCTTACCTGTTTTTTTTTTTTTTTTTTTTTTTTTTTTTGCCGTAATGTTGCTCAAAGTAGCAAGAATGTTGCTGAATTGGCAACAGTGAGAAAACTGCTGTTAAATGTATATGTGCAGACATGACCTGGTGGGCCAATCTATCAGCCAAACCTTTCTTACAGGAGAGCAGAGGACACTGGTTGATTTTTAGACCTTTGCCGAGGTAGATAAATCGGCTTTATCTATAAAAGAATCGGCACTGATGAGTTGACTGGTTGATGAATCAGTGCACCTGTGGTGTTTTCTGAGGTCATGTTAGACTGATTTTATTACAGACCAGTAGGTTGTTGTAGGTTGTTCCTCAATGCTGGAGGATATCGATTTGAGGAACTCCACAAGATTTCTTGCTTTGCTCAGATTTTCATTGCAAAATCAGCCAAGTCATGAACCAATTCACCACAGGTGTTCTTGCTAAATGGGGCAGGCTATGACATTTGGTCATAGCCTGCCCTCTATGACTTAATGTGTCAGTGGTTAGTATTTGCCTATAAATATGTTGTAATGTTGCATTCAGAATCTTTAAATGCCAATGGTTGAAGGGAAGCTTGTTGAGACCAGTCTGGAAATATGAGCTGCAGGCATTCAACGACTTGGGGGCTTCCATAAAAACATTTAAAATAATCTGTAACTGTTGTTTACTTTGGTGTATACATATATGTAAAAATGACATGCCACCTTTTAGTTGTTTCATTTGCTTTGCCAGTCATTTAGTATATTCATAGCGACTCCCTGACACACTTAAATTCATTTTGTCTTGATTAGCTTGTCTTAAGGCGATATGTAAAATATTGTTTGGGGACTTTATAGTCCTCTTTCTGTTTTCCTTTTTAGTTTTGTCTTTTTTTCAGTTTCAGAGCATTTATTTTGCTCAGCTGATGGATGTGATATACAACTTCTGATAGCTAATGAGTGTTTAACTTTTTTCTCACTGGATCTGTGTGACAGCGCTATTATTTCCAGCTGTTCTGCAGCTGTCCCTGTCTGTTCTCAAACTGGCCTTCGGTGCTTCCCTTGAATATAAATCACAAACACAGAACTCCAGGGTTGCTGCCTCCAAGTTTAAACTTGTTAAACTTCTTAGACTCCATTGTCAAACTGCATAGACCTGCATAAAGATAGATTAGCTATCTAGATAAATAAGATTTGCTGTAGTACAATATGAACTCACTGGCATTAACCTGCAGAGTTCCACAGAGCCTTACAGAAGCACAGCAGTGCTTATTATGCCACAGCATGGTTGACGCTCAGAGTAGAAAGCCCTGCTTTAGAAGTGACTGCCAGAGGAAACGTTAACTGTGGATTTCCGGTAATGTCTTTATCCTGCTCTGCTCTGCTCTGCTCTGCTCATTGACGTAAGCACATGTCAACTTATGTTGTTCTTGAATGTGGTTGTCTCCGTGAAGCACTACTGAATGTCCACATTCAACAACAAGCCTTCCTGTTGTGAGACGTTCAGCCTAAAGGAAATAATAGGCCACTTGTCGAATCTAAAGTTGGACCTTGGAGTAAAGGAAGTGCAGTGAAGGCCAAGCGGCATGATATAATAAACATAGTGAATCAATAGAGTTTGGATTTGACTTTGTAATGATAAACATTTTTAGCGACGAGAAAAGACAGAGATTTTGTTTGATACATGTGAAAAAATCAGAATGGCAACTAAAATACTCAGTTGTTTAGAAAGAAACTGCAAAAGCACAAAATCTTATCAAGTATTTTTGGAAGTATTCGTTGGGATGCAGTGAGGGAATCTGCCTATTTTTAGGGATAAGATGTATTGCTAAGAATACCACTTATTATTGGCTGTTTACTACAAGTTGTCTAGGTGTGAAAAACCGTCAGTGCACATTACTT